GGCACCTGAGCTAAAACTTCTAAGAGATGGAGGAGAAGAGGGAGTCATTTAAGACAAGGGGACAGGCTGTCTTATGGCATGAAGTTGGAAGTCAGAATATAAAGTTCAGGAAATGGCTAATGGGCTAATTCTGTCAGAATGTAGAATGTGTGAAGGGGATTAATAGTAAGTCTGGAAAGGTAGGTTGGCACCAACCTGTAGAGGGCGTTAATTAAATGCCGGGTTGAGGTGTTTATGATTCTAGTGACAATGGGGAACCGCTGAGGTTTTTTGAATGGGAAAGTGACATGATCGCACCTATACCTAAGGAAATTAACATAGAAGCTTGAGGCCTGTGATAAGAAGCAGCAACCTGGAGTCATCATTGGGGAGGAAATGAAAATCTCCAATTCTTGACCTAAGAAATCATCATTGCCAAATATCTGAACCACTGGAGTCTTAAACCTTCATCATTTCTTGCTTGTGCTATGGAAATTTTTTTATTGAGTTGGAAGGAGGGAGCAGCATATCAGTGGCCCATCAGGATACCATCTCACAGTTAAAAATGAATCCCAGTCCGACAAGAATTCAATGCTATTGATTGCATGACCACCTGAACTCTATATTCTCTTCCCCCTCTCTCATCCCTCCTTTCCCTCCGACATTAAAAATCTCTTGAAAGGAAGAGTTCTGGGCAGATTGTCAATAATACCATCTTTCCCTAGGCCCAAGCTGATTTTTTGGTCCTTATTCAAAGGAAGTGCCATGCTGCCTGGTCCACGAAGCTGAAGGACTGTGGGGCAGTCTTGATGAATAGCTAAGCATGCTGTGATGACTTAGAGTCTTGGTTGTAGTGGTAGCTGTCCAGGGGCTTTATTCACCATGGGCATGGGGTTAGGAGGCTTGTGTTTCCAATCGATGTCTTTCCTAGAAGTGTTGGGGTGGGGAAAACTGATAGAACACAGCCCATATTGGATGGGGTAGGATGGTTCCTTCAGGGTGTTAGGTAGTCAATGTGAATGAATCTAGGTTCCACTCTAGCCCCATCCCACCATCCACCTCTTCCCCCCCCCCCCCCCTCCCCCCTACCCCCCCCCCCCCCCCCAACTCCCTTGCACAGGAGACAACTTTTCCTCGGTCTCCTAATAACTGTAAGTTCTTATTCTGGCCCTGCAGGCGGCAGCCTTTCCAGGCCACAAAAACTCCAGGGTCACAGGGGCAGGGGCTTTCCTAAGGATGTTGCCATAAGAATTGGGCTGCCAGTATTGTTTTTTAAGGCCTAAAAACTGGAATACATTGAAGAGTTAAAAATGAATTCCCTTGAAGTAAGAGGGAGTCCTTGATGAACTCAGGTTGTTCTTTTAAAAAGCATGCATTATTTATTGCTGTCTTGGAAACAGGCATTGAAAATACTGTCTGCAGTCTATGTGGTGGAGTTGTAGAAATCTCTTATCTAAATTGAAGTCCATTAATTCAGGCTGTTGTTTCAGAGAGAAGAAGATGTTGTCTCAGCCTTGGTCAAAGGTTTTGGGTTGTTCTACCCTAACCCCTCCCACCCACTCCCATTATGAGTGCATGAAACAGGATTTGCCCCTTCTCCACTTACTTGTATGATCATTTTGCCATTCTGATATCTTCTTGATGTATTACTACTTCCTCATCAATTTACTTATCCAAGCTGGCTTTATTACAGCAGCAGCAGCTCCAGGCCCAGCACCTCTCCCACGCCACTCATGGCCCCCCTGTCCAGTTGCCGCCTCACCCTTCGGGCCTCCAGCCACCAGGCATCCCTCCAGTCACAGGAAGCAGCTCAGGGCTGCTCGCGCTTGGTGCCCTTGGCAGTCAGGCCCACTTGACTGTGAAAGATGAGAAAAACCATCATGAGCTGGATCATAGAGGTAAGGCCACAGAAGGAAAGGGGGGAGAAAGAGGAGGAAGCAGGGTTCCATTGTTGTAGGCAGGAGCCACAGTTTTGACTATTTAGCTGTTAAAAACTGTATATTTGTCCCCTACTCCTCTTAAGACTAGCAGGATAGTAAAGAAATTAGAATCATGTGTGAGATTGACTTTTCTGATTCCAAAAAAAATATCTCCTGCTATGCTCAGAAGCAGCCCTCAACATACAATGAACACTCCATGTTCATTTCCACATACCTTGATATCCTCCTCCTTACCTTTGCCTGTCTAAAACTCATCCATCCATCAAGTTCCAGTGAATGAAGCTTAGCAGAAGGGCATTGGACTTGGGGAGGGGAGAGGTGTCAGGGGTCAGGGAGACTTGGGTTCAAGTTCTGATTCAGACACTTAACTAGCTGGGCAAGTTCTTCACCTCTCAGTACCTCAGTTTGCTCATCTATAAAATGAGGGGGTTGCGACTTAGCCTTCTAAGGGCCCTTCTAGCTCTAAATTTACGATTCTGTGATTCTGTAAAACTGTCCTCTTCTGGGAACTGCCTCACCACACCTTCAGCCCTTGAAAGTCTTGCCTTTTTCTGAACCATGACTATAGTTAGTCACAGAATGCAATATAGTTGAAAAGGGGACCTTGGTTTACCTGATCCACCCCTGCATCACACAACCTAACATGATTAAATTTATATTCACTATTCTATAACATTTCTGTCTTGTCTCCCCAAATAGGTAACAGTTTCTTCAAAGGACAAGGACCTCCTATTATTTCCAAGTTCTTCACAGAATCTAGCATGATGTTGGGTATGCAGAGTAGGTGCTCAATAGATACTTGAATGGACGAATGATTGATTAATTAATTAACCTTAAAGTGGAGAGAGACCCAAGATAGAATGAGATAGGGGGCATCTTTCTTCCTGCAGAGTGGCTCTCCAAGTCTTTCTCTTTGGAGATTTGGAAATGTGATTGATCTTTAGGTCTATTCATAGCTGGGCTCTCTGCCCAGCCTTCTCTATTTGTTTCTTTCAACTATTCCCATAACCACATCCTCTATTCTCTTCCTCTGTACCTTTCACCCCGAAGATGCACACACCCATCCTCTTTAGCTTGTACTGAAGTGTTCTTCTTTGCATTCTGGCCAAGACCCAGCAAGGAATTTTGAGGCATGGCCAGTTGAGCCTTCTCTTCCCCCACCCCTCCTCTTTCCCTCCTGGGTTTTGGAATCATGTGGATTAGAGAGTTAGCACTGGAACCACAGGGTTTCACAATCCTTTGTGGAGTGGAGACCAAGCCCTTGGCTTCTCAGTGAACCAGACAGGCTCATAGAGTTCAATTAGGAGCTTGTCTCCCGCCCTGTCAGGTAGATGGAGGAGGGAGAGAGTCTTTTAAATAATCTCATTCTCATTCTTCCCACACCCCCAACCCTACCACAAATGAAGCACAAATAATTCCCTTTTGGTGACTGGTGCCTGGTCCCCACTCTTTCCTCCCCCTTCCCATCAGAGCCCTGTGGTCTCTACTTTAGCTACCTGGTTGGCAAGAGCCAATTGAAGCAATTGATTTCATAAAGGTTAATTTTTAAACCGACAAACCTCATAGAAAACCTATTATTGTGTTATTTCCAAAGGACATAATGAGCTGAACCTGCTACCCTACTAAAACCAGCACTTTCTCAGTGGTCTCAGAATTGGGATAGTTTTAACGCTGTTAGGTGTCCTAGCTGCCACGTGGTTCACAGTCTTAGAGGTGGCTCTGACATATGCTTTTGCTTCTGACTTTCTTTAAATGACATCTTAAGAAGTTCTGCTATCTTCTATTCCCCATCTAAATGATAGTGACTCTTGGCTCCTGGTTTGTTTTGAATGTACTTGGTACTAGGTAAAACATCACCTGCCCTGCCTACTCTTCCTGTCTTTAACGGGTTGGTCATTTATATGTGGATTTTTTCATGCTTCCTGGAGTGTTCTCTTCTTGTTTCTTCCTAGCTTCCCCTTCTCTGTTAGAATCATTTATCCTTCAAGGCCCAGATCAAATGCTACCTCCTGTGAAGCTTTTCTCCATTCTAATAAGATATGATCTCTCTAACCTCTGAGCCCCTATGGTATTTTACTTGCACTCACCTGCCCTTGAACTTATCATATCGCTTTATATCGTAGTTCTTTCGTGTATGTGCTTTCTGTACTTCCTAGCAGATGGTAAATTCTTCCAGGGTAAGAGGGACTATGTCTTAATTCACCTTTGCATCTGGAATGGTTTCTTCTTCCAAGCAGAGGCTTGCACATTGTAGGTGTTCAATAAATATTTGAGTCAATGCATGATGCTGCTACCCCTGGCAACAGATACCCATATCTACCTTGTTGAGTGGGTGACGTGTGTACTCTTTAGCAATGTGCTTGCAGATAGCACTACCTTTCTTCCCACTACCCACCCATTTGAGTCAGGAAATGTCTGTAATCAGTGTCCTCCCCCCTTTCTCAATACCCCCAAACCAAAGATTAAGGTGGCCTCTTAGAACATTCCTCTGAAAAGGCTGTTGATTCCTGCTCTATATCATCTAGGGACTATGATGAAGGGAATGCAAATTCTGCCCCAGAATTTGCTTTGAAAATGGCAATCTTTGTTTCATCCCTCAATTTAACCCTTTGGCCACTGGCTCAGTCTTTGGTCTCAAGCAGCAGGTGGGCTACAGCCTATATTGCATGCCTGGATTAGCTCTGGCTGCAGGTTTTCCTACTTTTTGGTGCTTTGCCCAGCTCCCTGGGAGCTATAGCTCCCAAGCTTTTCACTGGCTAGGTGGGAAGCACATGAAAAACCCTTTTCCATCCCAATACCCCCTTCTGTCTGCATACACTTCCTTTGTTAGCCAGGTAGGTGTCTTTTGAGTAACTTGGTCTCAGGTCAGAGGTTCAGACCTTTAGAGCTGAAAGGGACCCTAGAGACCATCTAATGCTGTGCGCACCTCCCCCTCCCCAATTTTACAAAGGAGGAAAATGAGACTAAGGGAGATCAAGCAACTTGCCCAAGTCTAGAACTTAATTCTTAAGAGTATAAAGCAGTCATTCTGTTTTCTGTCTCTTCTTGGTGTGTCTGAGAGTCAGGAGTTGATCAGGGCCAGTGCAAGTACTCAAGCCCAGAAAGATTAATTTTTAAACAGACAATCAGAAAGGCCATTACTGTGTCAACCCCCAAGGAACTCACTGAACTGGGACTGCCACCTATTAAGAAGGAGGCAAAACAGAGCGAAGTAAAAGGCCAGCTCACATTATGTTAGGCTCAGTCTGAACTTGTTTTCTTTTTTCTTTTTATTCCTGCTGCCCTGTCTTCCTTTTATCTTGGATGCACAACCCTGCCTCTGATTTGGGCTTCATTTTGGAAAGAGAGAGAATCCAGTGCGGTAAGTGACCTGCATCTGACTGTGTTACAGGGTTTGTTTGGGGATGGGCTGGTGTGTGTGTGTGTGTGTGTGTGTGTGTGTGCATGCTCTTTTCTTGCTCTGAAGGCTTCAACGACCATCTTCTCCATTCTCATCCTGTTGTTTCTTGAAGGGAGAAAGCAGCCTATGATTGTCGAGAAAGGGCACATCACCACCCCCATCCCCTCCCATTCTGCTTCGGTTTAGTTGAAGGGAATCTTAGCAAACCCTTATTGTCCTTTCAGGGTGCCTTTTACAGGGTGCCAGCCCTACTAGCCCTAAGGTTCCTTTTAAATCTTTGTGATTACACTGAGGTCCTGAGATTCCATTTCAAGTGAATAAGCCTCCAGAGTGAGTGTACTAGAGTCTGTGGATAAGGAAAAAAATCCTCCAGTGATTAGCAAAGCTATTTAACTTCTGATCACTGTTCTTTTATCTTGGGCCATCTAATCTGTTGGGATGGCTTTGGTTATTACTTTGTGTTAAGTAGGACTTGGGAAGGTCAAGCAGTTAACTAACCATCTAAATAGCATTGGTTGCTCACAATCGTTGCCTCGGGCAGGTTCCCCACCACCCCTATCCTTTAAGAAAAAAAAGAACCCTTCATCTCTGTATTAGCCATTCTCCCTTCATGTCTTTTCATTTGGTTTCATTGGAAAGAATTCATTTTACCAACCTGGCTAGAGAACAATGTTTGGATTTATCAACCCTCTATAAACTGAACCTCCCTTCCCTCCTCACCTCCACCCCCTCATTCCACCTCCCTAAGGAGGAAGCAGTGTGGTATGTGAGAAAAGTCACTGGCAGTCAGGGAAATCACCTGTCGCATCTCTGTCACTATTATGTGTGACATTGAAGGGAATAATTTTACCCACCTGGGTCTCCAATTCTTCCATCAATAACAGAGAGATAATAATACATGACTGCTGCCTTCCAGGGTATTTGTGAAGAGCATAGGATCGTAGATTGAGTCCTAGGAGTGATCTTACCGGTGATCTAGTCCAAACTCTTCATTTTACACAAGAGGAAACTGAGGCCTCGAGGAGTGAAGTGACTTGTGCATTCACACAGGCAGAGCTGAGATTTGAATCCAGGTTCATGGACACCAAGTCCATCACTGCTTTGCCCCCATGCTGCCTCTCAAATGAAATGTTGCGTATGACAGCGCTTTACAAGTATTAAAGACTCTTAGGAAGTCCAACTTTCATAGATTTCCCCAAACCTATCCTCCCATAGTTCCTCCTCCCTTTTCCTTTTTTGTTTACATTGCTATTATTATTTTTATTTTACTTATTTATTTTTGCTTATGCCCAGTTAGATGAAAGCTTTCTGTTAAAAAGAAACCCCCAAGGGGACCACGAAAAAACCCCTACCCCACTAAAAATCCTCCCTTTGCATGGATCTCCTGTCATCCGTGCACTTCAGGCATTCAGAACAGAAAGGCCACAAATGAGCCTTTGGAGGATCAGACGAAGATGAATCAAAATGCCATCTGAGCTGGGGGGGAGAAGGGGAGAGGAGAGGGAAGAGAGGAGGGGGTTGGTGTGTTGGGGTGGGGTTAGGGAGGGCATTAATCTGTCCCTTGGCAGCCGGGTCATCGAGAAAGGGCAAGTCATCCAAGGAGGAGGGGAAAAGGGAACAGAAATATTTCAGACTAGGTAGGGGGAGGCTGGTGCTGGTGGTGGTGGTGAAAAAGGGTGTGTAGAGCGGCTGGCCCCTGGAAGTTTTCCCGATGGGGGTTAATATGGAGTATAATCGCAGATAGATTCATTCATATTTCCTTGCCTAGCCTAAGCAATAAAAAATACTTAGTTTTTTGGCTGCCTGCCGACAAAAGGCGGACTGGATCGATGCCTCTAAATGCCTGACGTGACTCTCTGGTAGTTGCAAGGTTTTTCAGCCTGACTGCATGAGAAGAAAGGACTCCGTGTTATCCAAAGCTACTTATTGGGTACTGAGGAGGAACATGAGCTGCTTTGGTTCTCCCTTTCTTCCCCGTCTGAAAAGGGAAGCAGAAGAGCTTAGAAACATTTCTACTTAGCATGGGGTGGCAGCCACTGTTAGAAGAGCTGAAATGATGGTAATTTCTGCCGGCGCTTGTAGGAACTAATTGAATTGCATCTGTGTTAGAGCATTGCCCGTTTGCGCTGCTGTAGTTAAGGTTGAGTTGCACTTTCCATTATAACCTCCACACTCTGTTCAAGGCTTTATAACTCTGCCATTTTAATTTGCTCCAGGCAGAAACTTGGCAGGGACAGGCTTTGCACAGAAACGGGCTTAGGAAATGAATTCATTGTGCTGCTGCTCCTGTTACCACAGCATCATTTGCGCTGCCCCCCAACACACACACACACACACACACACACACACACACACACACACACACTTTCTCACTGTCCCCTCTCTTTGTATGTATGAGCCAGGGTGTGGGTCTTTAACAGAAGGTAAAGTCAGGGGAAGTCTCAGAGTCAGGAAGACTTAAGTCCTGCCTTTAAGTCCTACTAGCTCTGTGACTGTCGACAAAGTCACCTAACCTCTCGGCGTCCTCAGACAACTCTCTGAAATTAAAAATTACAGATGAGTTGCTTATCTATATCTGTGCAAGGACGTTTGCCCCATACAAATGAAAACACAGGTCTGGGACACTGCCAAAAAATTTTGGGGGCAAATGGGAATTCCCCTCAAGTGACTATTTCTGTCTACTCTGTTTTGTCCATCTTAAAACACTGTAGATATGATCTGCTATTCACTGTTATTATTTCTTCCTATTCAATCTAGTGCAAGTTTTGGCCTATCTTTCAGGACCATAACAAATGTCGTGTGGTCTAGATGAAATGACGAAATGTTATGAAACATAAACACCAAATGTAAATATATGATATAGGAAATGTAAATATAAAACCAAAATTATCCCTAGAATGATACTGGGTGTGGTGTTATTTTACAGGCAAAATAATCCATTGGCTAATGTCACCTCTCATCAATTTCCCCCTGCTCAGCTCCCAAAGTTCTTGTAATCATCATGGAGAGGTCTTCCTGTCCATTGATGTTGTATTGGTTTAGTAAGATCTTCCCTGAAAACATGTCCCTGTGTGTTTTCTCTTAAAGACTTTACCACACTGCACCTCTTTGTTTTGTAGCAAAAGAGTAGATTTTCTTTTTCAGGAACAATGCTTTCATTTTTAGCCATTACATCTTCTAGCCTTGCTCTTTCTTCATCCTCTGATCCCACAATTCCAAGTGCTAGTTTTGGAAGCCTGGATTCCTTCAGTGGCAAGAGCACTGGGTGTTTTTGGGCCCAGTGCTCTGTTTCCTATCTTTGTTGCTCCTTGGCTTTGGACAGATCACTTGACCTTTTGGGACCCTAGTTTTCCATCTTGAAAACATGAATGATTGTCTGCCAACTCGGATTTCTTTAGGAATAAGAGTTTGTGTTTTGTGTGTGTTTTCTCACTAGCATTTCTGTATGGATAGCTGACAAATTTAGCAATATTCCCCCCCAGATATTTAGACTAAAATGCTAGCAAGCTGGTCTAGGGAGAGTATTTGTAACCTGAGGCTTCTAGTTCTGACTTTTCTACAGAAAGACTTGGATAGACAAAAAGTACACATGTGTGTTTGTGAATTCATGGGCATGTGCACCAATGCATTGTGTAAATAGACCTATATACTCAGTGCTAATAACAGAATTATTCTTAATTTACCTGCTAGGCACAAAAAATATTTCTAATGGCAGACCAATCTCTTTGTTTCAGAATAACTCTGTATCTCCTTCTGAAAGCTTGAGGGCTAGTGAAAAGCATCGAAGTTCTGCTGACTATGGCATCGACTCGAAGAAGAGGAAAGCAGAAGAAAAAGACAGCATGAGTCGATATGTAGGTCTGATAGACAGATGGGACTATCACCTTTTTTGGGGTGGAAGGGCTAATGGGGGGAAAGGCCTAGGGCCCTCTCCCAAGGGCAGTAGCCTTGAGGCCCTGCTGCTTCAAGGATCAGGCAACTAGATAGGATCCACAGGGCCTCCTGGAAAAGAGTAGGTGGGAGATGCAACTGGCTCTCTCCACTAGAGATAAAAAGCTCATGCTGAAGTTTTCATGCTCTTCTCCTACCCAACCCTGCTCCTTCCATTGCTGGTCAGTGCAGATGAGACTACAGCTGGCTGTTTACCATCGTTGCCTTCATTTCTAAGCCAGCCCTCAAACTGCATATTGTCCTAATGTGCCATCTTGTCTTCAAGGGTTTCCCCCACACACCCTTTCTTTCTCAAAAGAAGGGGTGGCAACAATGATAGTTAAAAACAAGCCATTGTAACTTTTTTTCAAAATGATTCACAGAAGAGAAATATAAGGAAGTTCAGAAGGCAGCCCACATGAGGAGGGCAGTTTTGAAAGTAATGTGTCGAATTTATTACATGCTGTTTAAAAACAACACAAAACAAATAGAATGAAAAGGTTGTTCATGGCTTTGTGTAGAATGCTCTTTTTCTGGTGTTCTCCATTTATGGGGGTACCCTCATCCCCTTTGGGGGATTTTTAAGAATTTTTTTGAAATCTCCCCACCAGAAACTAACCTTGATAGTTTTAATCTGTATCCAAAAGTGTCTAGGGGCCACCCACACAATCCAAGGCCAGTGACTATAGACCTCATCTGCAATAGAACCTCACTGACCCTCAAGACAATAGAGCACAGACTGTGGTTATGAGATGGGGTCCTTCCCAAGGGACAAGAAATACTCCTTATTCAGAAGGACCTTGTTTCTAGACGCAGTGACATGGCCAGGGTCCATTCTGTTCTACCAGAGGAAGTGAGGGGGCGGGGGTGAGGGAAACTATCTTAAAGCTGTCCTCTGGAGTTCTTCAAAGTTCATTTAAGTGATCTTGAAGCCTCTGTTCAGGGAGAGCAAACATCCTTTGGATACTGATGAAATAGGCTCCTTTTCCTTTCTGGAAAGACACGACTCCAAGATATGTCCTATCCTCATTTTCAGCATTGCCCATTTACTCAGGTGTTCTGCTCCCGTCCTTTATGACCCAAATCAAGTCCCACCCTAGTCTGCGGAGCCTTCTCTCACCGCCCAGCTCAGATACTGCTCTCTATCTCTTGCCTTCCTGAGCTCCAGTGGCATTGATTACCTGGCCTTCTTACTTTGGATGCAGCACTTCCTGCTTATATTTTGGCTTATCTTTTACTGTGTGTCTGTCTAATGCTTTGTGACCCCACCCCCAACTTCTTATTGTAGGAAATGAGCAAAAGTATCATTGCTCAGTAACATTTTTGAGTGGTCACTCTACACAGTTCCTGGCCCCAAAGAGCTTATTGTCTGGGATAGGGGAGGTTGCAGAATGTGTTATCTGTAACTAAGGCAGGGAAAGAGTTAAAGTGCAAATCAGTATACAGCAAACTGAATTTAAAAGGGAGACAGCAGAGTAAGAGCAGTCAGGTTGATGGATGGTTAATTAGGGAAGGTGTCCTGTGGAAGTGGGCTGTGTTTTGAAGGAAAGGGGTGAGGTATAGGCTATCAGAGGTAAGCATGAAGGGTATTCCCATTTCTTACCTATCTCTTCTTTCGTTGCAGGATAGCGACGGGGACAAGAGTGATGACCTTGTGGTAGACGTATCCAATGAGGTGAGTGAGGGACTGTGTTGTAAATGGGACATTTACAAGGAAAAGGAAGTTTTTGTTTTTTTGTTTTTTACGAAGGACTAGAAATCCATTCTGAGAATCCTTAGCTGATTGGAGGCCATAGCAGAGACAAGTGACCACATGTAAATTGTGTTGAAAGGGGCTGCAGATTGGTATTTCTTGTTAAATCTCTGGCTAAGCAGAGTTGAGTTGTACCCCCATCAAGTTGCTTCTTGCTTGTGTTCTAAGGAAGAATGTGATTCTTAGACATATTAAAAATGGGAGTTTTTGAAGGTTCTGGTATAGGTAGCTTTGCCTTCTCTTCTGAAATAGATCACTAAAAGCATACTAAAATACGAACTAAAGGAAAAATGTCCTTGACCAATTCCTTGGTCCATCAAGCCTTGCCCCTACCCATAATTACAGGAAGGTGTGGTCATTCCCAAAATCAATCCCAGCAGGTTAGAGATAGCATATCATGGCAAGAACACTGGCCACTGGCATTATGAGACCTGGATTCTAATCCCAGATCAGCCACTAGTTAACTCTATGATCCTGGAAAAATAATTTCACTTCTCCATTTTCCTCATCTGTAAACTGATGGGTTTGGACTCTTAGCTTCCTTCCAACTTTAATTAGTATTCCAAGATCTCTCCGTTATACCTCCAAAATGTCTGTAGGAATGTAGAGACCCCTGAACCTGGTCTGTTCTCAGGGTCTGGACTTCACCAAGTCCAAATCAATTACTTCTCCTTCTTTCTCCCATCTAGCAACTATAAATTTGAACACTTGACCTTAGCGGTTGCTATAAATACATTTCTTGTGTTTTTAGGATCCAGCCACACCCCGGGTCAGTCCAGCCCACTCCCCTCCTGAAAATGGGATAGATAAAACCCGAGGACTGAAAAAGGATGCTCCTAATAGCCCTGCCTCGGTGGCTTCCTCCAGTAGTACTCCTTCTTCTAAGACAAAAGACCTTGGTCACGTAGGTGGTGTTTGCTGCTCCTTGTGTGCTGATGACTGACAGTGGGAGGAGGGGTGTAGATGCAGATTTCTCGAGTAACCCAGAAAGAGCTTCAGTGACTCTTGGGTTTTTTTTCTTGTTGGGTGGAAAGGGAGGGTGAGCAAAATTCACTGCCTGAAGAAGCTGGCTTTTGTAGGCTGTTGTCCAAGGAGCGGAGCTCTTCATGTTTTCCTTTTTCTTTCCCCTTTGATTCCAGAATGATAAATCCTCTACCCCTGGTCTCAAGTCAAACACACCAACTCCAAGAAATGATGCCCCAACTCCTGGAACAAGCTCGACTCCAGGGCTCCGATCAATGCCAGGCAAACCATCTGGCATGGATCCCCTAGGTAGAGATGTGGGCCCTTGGGGTTTGAGGGGTGTGTATGTGTGTTGGGGGGGCAGTCATTGGCAATTAAGAGTCTTCTTTCTTGGTTGTTCTTCTCTGGGTTTGTGTTCCTGACAGAGACATGGGTGAGGATTTTTCAAGGCATGGGTCACCTAACATCTGATCTGGTTTACAGTGATTCATATTATAAAGTACCTTTGGAACAAATCCAAAGAAGGTAGTCTTAGCTTCTGGTCCTAGGGCAGCCTGAACTCTAGTTGGAAATACAGGACGGACCCATTGAAATAATTCAGAATGCTTCATTTAGGAATATGCCAACAAGTGCAAAGGACTGTAATTTAAGAGGTTGTGGGTAGAAAAAGCACATGACTGGAAGTTGGAAAAGCTAAATTCTGGCTCCAACAAACAATTAACTCCCTCTGTGGTTGTAGGTCTCACCTTTCTGTATCTTAATTTTCTTATCTATAAAATGAACCAGCTGATTGCCAAAGTCTCTCACAGTTTGAAGTTCAGTGGATTCTACCAGAGAAAATTTCCAAGAGGCCTGAATTTCAAAGGGAGATCTTAGGTTCGTAGACTCAAGCACCTGGACCCGTGATTTCATTGGTTTAGGGAACTTCCAAGTGAGGGAACCATCAGTGCGGACCTGGCACCTTTTCTGCAATTGGTTCTAATCCCAGCTCTGCCACTATTTAATATTGATACTAGATAAGTAATTTAACTTATCTGGGCCTCAGTTTCCTTATCTGTAGAATGAGAGGATTTGACTCTCAAGTTCCTTCCAGCCCTCAGTATTCTAGGATCTCATACTTCCACTTCCAGAATATATATGGCAATTTGCCTGGAGCGAGTGTGTTACTTAGTGACATTCCCCAAGTTATGCCATATTGGAGGAAGTGAAAGAGGGTGGGGAAGGGGTCTGTGATTTAGGTTTTCCAATAGCTGTACTATTCACATTTTTATTGCATGGTCACATGGCCAGTCTGTGTGAGAGGATGAACTCGAATCCAAGTGTTCCTGATTTCCAGGTTCTTTCTGTGGCCACACTGCCTCTCAGGGGAAGGATTATCAAAATGGTTAGAAGAAGGTGGGAGAGGTGAAGAGTTTCTTGGAACTGTAGCCCTCTAATATATACTCTCCTATTTCCATTTAGCATCTACTCTCCGGACTCCCATCTCTATTGGCTCCTATGCAACTCCATTTGCTATGATGGGCCATCATGAGATGAATGGCTCACTCACTAGCCCAGGGGCCTACGCAAGCCTACACAACATCCCTCCTCAAATGAGTGCCGCGGCCGCTGCTGCAGCTGCCTATGGTCGATCACCAATGGTGAGCTTTGGAGCTGTACGTAGAACTTTTGGCTCCTTTCAATGGGGATGGTGTGTTGGTGGGCTAGCATCGATTGGGGTAGATGACTGCTCAACCATGGGCTGTTCTCAGTCCTTCTGGTGTCTGGGGCTTAGAATTTTAGGGAACAACTCCATGTGGAGATCTGCAATATAGGAGATAAATAAGGTGATCTCTTAAGATTCTCTACAGGTCTAAAGCTTATATGACTAAGTAAACTGGCAACCCTTGGTTGTAGAAGAGGTGTTTTCTAAAGGGAGAATTAGGAGACATTGGAAGTTGTGTTGGAAGTATTGATCCATATGTTTGTAATGGGTTATGCCTTATAAGGGATATTTAAGTATGATATCTCCAGCTCTTAAAAATATACCTGACCTCCGTCTAGGGTGTTTGAGATAATATTACCTTGGGCAAGGTGCGCAACCTTTCAGTTTCTTTATCTGTAAATTGTGCATAGCAGTATATCACAAGGTTATTGAAACGTGCATGACTACAAACATCGTCTATATTTATCATATTAATGTTATTTACCATTAGACAAGTGGTCTTTTTGGAGGTCTTAGCACTTCTCATTAAACAGGAATTAGTCATCAGATATTTATTGTGTGGCTAGCCCTTATGTTAGTGAAACAAAGAATTTCTCATCTCTTTGGGGGAGAGCAGACATGATATTTATTCACATAAAAACAATTGGAAAATAATGATAATAATAATTAGAGTATGTATTGGGACTGTGAGTACTGTAGGAATTTGGAGAAAAAAAAGTTCCATGTAAACTGTAGGGGTAGTCAAGGCAGGCTTCCTGCAAGAGTCAGACCTGAGCAAGACTTTGAGGGATGGGTTAGATGTGGGTAGGCCGAAGGGATGAAGAAGACACTTGGGCTGTTAGAAAGTAGGGATTAAAAAGAAAGAAAGAAGGTAGGGATTGTTTCATTCTTTGTATTTTTAGTACCTAGCAGGCCAGACATGTGGTAGGTGTCTAATAAATGCTTGCTGATTGAGTGAAAGGAGGGGAAATTTCTCTAGAGAACGGAAGTTGTCTGTTCTCCCTTTTGCATTTTACATGGAGCAAGTGTGCACTCAGTGACATTTACCAAGCTATGCCACATTGAAGGAAGGGTATGTGAAGGAAAGGTGAAAAAGGGGTTGGGAAGAGGCTTTGTGAGTCTGGTCTTCCAATAGCTCATCTGTTGACATCCCTTGTAAGTGGTACCATTTTTTCCTCCCCAGGTGTTTTTTAGTTCAGTTAGAAAGGCATGTTGGTATTAACTGGAAAAGGTATTGGGCTCATAATCTTGGGTTGTGGTCTTAGTTTTATTGCTAATTTCCTGTATGACCTTGGGCAAGTCACCAACTTTCAGTTTCCTCATTTATAAAACAGGGACATTAATACCTGTCCCATCCAGCCCCAAGGGTGATTATGAGGCTTGATCAGGTAACAAATGTGAGAAGAACTTGAAATGTTTAAATGTGAGGTATAATTTTTGCTGAAGACTAATGTTTTATGTTGGTTTCACAGGTTGGTTTTGACCCCCACCCCCCGATGAGAGCCACTGGACTGCCCTCAAGCCTTGCTTCCATTCCTGGAGGAAAACCGTAAGATTTTGGCTCTTACTGAATTCTTTTGGCACAGGGTGGGATTTGAACTCTGTTCAGGGCACCAGGAGTCAGTGTTAGGAAAAACTAGGCCACCCCATTACAAACTGGAGAGCTGGGTTTTTGTTGTTGTTGTTGTTTTTTCAACAATCTGAGAAGAGGGACCTTAGAGGTCTTCTGATAATTTTAAAATTGAGGAAACTAAGCACCTGAAAGGGGAGGTGAGTGATTTGCCGAACCACACACACACACACACACACACACACACACACACGTATACGTACACATACATATGGCTACATAGACACGTATGTATACACCTAGCTAGGACTAGAACTTGGGTCCTCTCACCCTCACTAGCCTTCTTGCAGTTCTTCCATGCTGTCTCTCCAGTTTTAAGAAATGTGGCTCCAAACACTGCTGATGTCCCCTATTCCAAATCCCAGCTGAGTATAGGAAAAGGAGAATGCATGTGAATCTAGGTGATGGTCTTTCATTTTTGTTCCTAGAAAAAGGTAGATTATTTAGGAGCCTATTAGTCTTTTTCCTGAGCGTTACTTTCTCTGGGCATCAAATGGCCATGGGGTTGACTTGTTTCTTTAGCTCCAGAAAAATTCACAGAATAAAACCGGACTCCAAAAGTGCTGAGAGGTCAGCTCTTTCTGGTGCCCAGGGGCTTGAGAACCTCTGATCCATCCACAGAGAAGCATCTTAGAGCTTTGGTGTTTTGTTTGTAAAAGCTGGAATGGGAATAAGATAAAAGCACCAATAACTGTAATATTTGACATAACATGATAAGTGTACTAGAACAGTACAAAGTATAAAATCTAAAAGGATGGGAGAAAGGTCATTATCAACCCCCATATGGGGTGGGGGGGGGATGAAAGCTTATTATATGGATGAGTTGGCATTTGAGTTGGCCTTTAAAGAATGGGTAAACATGGGGAACAAATGTACAGAGGGAGGGGGAACATAAAAATTCTGCAATAGATAATTCTCAAAGTGAATAAATAAATTTACACTGAGCTAATTGAGAATGGATGATTAAAATTACTTTTATTACCATGCTGGTTGAAAAGTTTTCTGGATCTTAACTAAAAAAATCAGCACATTATATTTTGTGTATGTATCTACGTATAAATACCTAGAAGAGAAATAATCCCCTCCCTCCGCCCCACTAGCCCTCAAGAATCTGCTGCTTTCCATTGTTGGCTTTTAGATGCAGATTGGGAGTAAGGTGGTGTCAGTTTCTGATCTGGATCTGACCCCTGTATCCCGGGCGTCCCCTTCTTTCAGGGCTTATTCCTTCCACGTGAGTGCTGATGGCCAGATGCAGCCAGTCCCCTTTCCCCATGATGCACTAGCTGGGCCTGGAATTCCTCGGCATGCAAGACAGATCAACACGCTGAGCCATGGGGAGGTGGTGTGTGCTGTGACCATCAGCAACCCTACCCGGCATGTCTACACTGGAGGCAAAGGATGTGTGAAAATCTGGGACATCAGCCAACCAGGAAGCAAAAGCCCCATTTCTCAGCTTGACTGCTTGGTAAGGAACTCTTTAGAGTATAAGCCTGGTGTGGCCAGGGGGTAGTTTTTTTTTCTCTTCTGTTTGCTAGGAATACACAACTTCTTTCCATATCCAGTCCCCTCTCCTCTGATCATCTCAGCCTGCTTATCATACTTATTCCTTTCTCCATACTTCTATTCATGGCTCTTTCTTGCTAGGAATGTATTCTTCCTGTCCACATCCTACTCATCCTTCAAAAATTTAGCACATTTCCTCAGTAAGTTCCTTGAGGTCAGAGATTGGGCTTCCCTTTTTTTTTTTTCATCTAGCACATAGGCAGGTTCATAACATGGAAAGAAGGAGGGAGGGAAGGAGAGAGGGAGGAAGAGAAATGTTGCTTTACGGAGCTCCTATTTTGATTTTGGAAAAAAGCTGCCTGTTTTTGGGGATGAGACCGGACAAACATGGGCCTTTTACAATATATTTATTTATTAAATGGTAAACAACAAAAGTGGAGGGGTTGGGTGGGAAAGCGTATAAAGCAGCAATGAATTCTCAGAAGTGATAGAAATTCTGTTACATTTTTAAATATTGTGGTCCTGGAGTAAGGGAGCCCAAACTGCTAATATTCTACCCTCCTTTCTCCAGAACCGAGACAACTATATCCGCTCCTGTAAGCTCCTTCCCGATGGTCGCACACTCATTGTGGGTGGTGAGGCCAGCACACTGACCATCTGGGACCTGGCATCCCCAACACCTAGAATCAAAGCTGAGCTGACGTCCTCTGCCCCAGCCTGCTATGCCCTGGCCATCAGCCCTGATGCCAAAGTTTGTTTTTCGTGCTGCAGTGATGGGAATATTGCTGTTTGGGACCTTCACAACCAAACCCTGGTCAGGTAAGGACAGGAACTAGATTGTGGCAGCACAGAGAGATGGACTCTACCACCCTCATCATTAGCCTCATTTAAAAAAAAAACTTTATTAACCCCATGGTTCTTGGTTTTAGGTACCATATTGGGTGATTTATATAATGTCTAATTCTTTTTTTGTTTTTTTTTTTTTT